CGCAAAAATGGAAAAAGGGACGAAGCTATTTATCAAACGCGACGCGACGTGATAAATTCTCGTATCGATCGAAAGTAAATGGGAAAATTGACTCTAAATTGAATTAACGCGGTATACTACTTCGATACTCTAATAATGGGAGGGCGTTTGCACCATTAGTGCAGTAGAGTCCATCCAGTTCTTCTGCGGACCTCTTGGTAGTTCAGCTTCGACATGCACATGCACACACATATATAACCAACCACCAAACCCTCAAAAAATTCACTCACAATTCGCAGATTAAGCAGCTGGGCTCTGCAACGTAGATTTGGCTGCATTGCCTCCTTCCATCCTCTCAGATCGTCATCCTTCCGCAAATCATTCCAGTTCCTCGTCGTTGATTTCCCAAGACTCACAGACTCACAAAATGTGAGTCACTGTGGAATGGACGACGCGAAAAGTATTTCGAAACGCGATTTATTTAAGAGGGGAAACCGCGATATTATATTATTCTCGATTTTTAGAATGAAGTTAACTTTAAATAGAATAAACGTAAAAAAAAGAAAAGAGATATGAAATAAACACGATGTATATAAAGCAAAAGAATAAACCGCGAATTGATATCTTTCCCGAATCTCTAACGCAAGTAAATTTGAAGCAGGGTATCGATAGAGATGAAGCTATTATAATACTCAATGCAACGACTCTAGTATTTACTAAAATTCAAAAATTCTCGTATATATTCCGAAAAACGATTTTTAATTGCGAAACACTGCTGAGACGGTTTAATTTGGGGCAGCCAGCTCATATTTGAGCTAGCAATACACAATACAACTAACTATTAAACCAAATCACCAGAAGAAAACCCATTTTTGTAGCTCACTGTTCGCTGATTAAACAGCTGAGCTCTGCAACGTAGATTTGACTGCATTTTCTGCTTCCTTCCACTCAGATTGTCATCCTTCCTTCCTTCCTCCCAGTTTCGATCGATTTTGCAAGACACACAAACTCACAAAGTGTGAGTCACTGTGGAATGGACGACATGCAGAAAGGGAGAAACCGCGAATTTATATTATTTTCAATATGCGCGGTATACTACTTTGATACTCTAATAATGGGAGGGCGTTTGCACCATTAGTGCAGTAGAGTCCATCCAGTTCTTCTTTGACCTCTTGGTAGTTCAGCTTCGACATGCACATGCACACACATATATAACCAACCACCAAACCCTCAAAAAATTCACTCACAATTCGCAGATTAAGCAGCTGGGCTCTGCAACGTAGATTTGGCTGCCTGGCTGCATTGCCTCCTTCCTTCCTTCCTTCCATCCTCTCAGATCGTCATCCTTCCGTAAATCATTCCAGTTCCTCGTCGTTGATTTCCCAAGACTCACAGACTCATAAAATGTGAGTCACTGTGGAATGGACGACACGAAAATTATTTCGAAACGCGATTTATTTCAGTTTTATTCAGAATGGGAGAAACCGTGAATTTATATTATTTTCAATATTATTATTAAACTGAACTTTCGTAGGACGCGAGTGAAAAATTGAAAGAATCAAAACGCGGTATACTACTTTGATACTCTAATAATGGGAGGGCGTTTGCACCATTAGTGCAGTAGAGTCCATCCAGTTCTTCTTTGACCTCGTGGTAGTTCATCTTCGACATGCACATGCACACACATATATAACCAACCACCAAACCCTCAAAAAATTCACTCACAATTCG